CAAGAGCCCCGTCATTTGCAAAGAACATGAGTCCCCTTTTCCCATCCCATTCATGTAAAATCCTCATTAATCACATTTTTATAGGTAGGAGAGGGTACTTAGTCGAATGTTGTCACGCAAAGGGTGGAGAGAGTGGGGATCACTGTGCGATTCCGTGAGTAATCGCTGAGTGACTCACTTTATCCTCTCCTGACTTTGACTCATACTTTGGAAAGCCTGCGGATGAGTTTTGCCGATCCTTTTGCTCATTTCAATCTCTTTCCTATGTTTATCTCAAAAGTGTGTAGGTAGCTTTTTCTTAAATGAAGTTAATAGAAGCCACTGTATGCTGATGTCAGACTTTGCAAAGAGCGATTCTGTAGCGTCCGCGGTCGCGTAGCCAATCGCTCGACTGCCTGTACTCACATCGCGAACCGACACGCTAGCTCGAATCGTTTGTTGTTCGCAAGTCTGACATGAGCGCACTGTCAATCCTTTTCATCAATCGTAAAAACTCTCTCCAAAAATTTACCTGGGAAATGAATTCGCAGTGCTTTGTCACCGTAATTGCGTGTACATCCTTCTGTTTTTCGGCGTGTAATCTGCGGGTAATTGGGCAGACATTCGATAGCGTCGAGATCACCAAAAACGGCATGGGATTTTGATTTTTTTCGAAGCTGCCGAGTGTCTTGCTCTCTAATCACGCCAGGCTCCTCAACTAGAGAATGGATCTTTTACTGAATATTTTCAAGCACTTACTTCTAGAACGATCATGGATGTCCGCTTGCTGAGTATATTGGTGGTAGGTGTGGCAGCTCAAATTCCCATGACCCAAAGTCCTATGACAGCTCAGAATCAAATGTTCAACTGCACGCTTACCGTTCAACTGGTGGACCAGGTGATCGAAAGACTCAGGACAGAAAAGCGTGAGTTAATAATTTGAAGATTCCTATGCTCCTTTGGAGCAGGCTCATAGTGCTCTTGAAAGTCGTGTGGCCTAGAATATCGTTGGTAACACTTCAATGAATGAACCTGAAGTAAGGCACTCTGAGGAGCAGATTAATTTGTGGGTGAGATAGAACCACTCCCAAAAGAGGAATACATGCCGAACTTGCGACTCGATGGGGACTGAAGTTATTCTAACAGAGCCAAACTGACTCTCAGTGTAATTAAGCTAGGTCCCGAGACGTCTGCGTCTCCCTAGTTTCCTACACTATTTAGTATATTTTTGCCGCAGCAGTCCTCAGTGCCATCAACCTCCTTCGAAAATAATTTATAAAACCAACTCAGGATTC